CGGAATAATTCTTTTCTGATGTGGAAGTTCAGATTAAACTGCGACCACAGAGCATACTAAGAATATCCCAAATAAATAAAATATGCAAGAAAGAAGACACCAAGATTTAACATTTTTCTTTAAATTTGGTGCCAACTTTTGTTTGTTTGATTGTGCACATGTGTTGGCTTAATTTGGCTGGATCTGGCAATTCTCTCCCTCCAGCCAAAGGGATACATTCTGCAATTTTTCACATGCATTCCATGCCGATTAACTCGGCACAAAGCTGAAGTTTTCCTCCTGTTACAAGTTTTGTCATCATGTCAGCAGGATTTTCATCAGTGTGAATCTTTTTCAACTTGAACTGTTGTTCTTCCACTACTTGACGTAGCCAATGATTTCTGACATCAATGTGCTTCGTGCGAGAGTGGTACATCGCATTCTTACTCAAATCCAATGCGCTCTGACTATCACAGTGGATATCGTACCTTTCCTGCTTCATTCCCAATTGTTGAAGAAACCTCTTCAACCAAAGCATTTCTTTTCCTGCTTCTGTCATTTTAATATACTCTGCTTCAGTAGTCGACAAGGCAACAGATTTCTGCAATATAGATTGCCAAGATACAGCTCCTCCTGCAAATGTAAACACAAACCCTGAAGTAGATTTTCTACTATCCAGGTCACCTGCCATATCCGCATCTGTATAACCTTCAAGAACTGGGTTTCCTTTGTCGAAGCTCAAGGACTTATTTGCACTGCCTTTTAGGTACCTCAAGATCCACTTCGCAGCTTCCCAATGATCCTTCCCAGGATTGGAAAGATACCTGCTAACAACTCCAACCGCGTGTGCGATATTCGGTCTAGTACACACCATGGCATACATTAAACTCCCGACTACCGAGGAGTATGGAACACCCGCCATAGATTCTTTTTCTTCTTGACTCGTAGGACAACTTTGTTTATTGAGTTTGAAGTAATTGGCCAACGGTGTATTGACCGGTTTAGCCGATTTCATGTTGAATCTCTCCAGAATCCGATTCACATAACGTTCTTGCGATAACCATAACCTCTTGGATTTTCGGTCTCGCATGATCTGCATACCCAAAATTTGTTTCGCAGGGCCCAAGTCCTTCATCTCAAAGGACTTTGCTAATTTCTTCTTCAAATCACCAATCAGCTTCATATCTTGTCCCACTATCAACATATCATCATTGTCTTGGAGCTTGTTTCAGTCCATACAAGCTCTTCTTCAATCTGCAAACCATGTGCTCCTTTCCAATCCTCTCAAATCCTTCTGGTTGCTCTATGTAGATTTCTTCATCTAGGTCTCCATGAAGAAATGCAGTCTTCACATCTAGTTGTTCAAGCTCCAGATCCAAGCTAGCCACCAATCCGAGTACTACTAGAATAGAGCTCATCTTTACAACCGGAGAGAATATCTCATCAAAGTCTATTCCTCGCTTTTGTCCAAATCCTTTCACGACTAAGCGAGCCTTGTATTTCAACAACTTGTCACCATCTTTCTTAAGCTTGAACACCCATTTATTTTTCAAAGCTTTTCTGCCTTCCGGAAGCTTCACAAGCTCATAAGTTTTATTTTTCATCAGCGAATCCATTTTTTCTTGCATAGCTTTCATCCACTGGGATTTATCATTATGAGTTTGTACTTCTTCAAAGCTTTCTGGCTCCTTCTTCAGTGATGGTAATATACGTGGAACTAGGGTATCTCGTAGATGGTTGGATCACTCGGTTTGATCTCCTGAGCTGAGGTAGAGCTTCGAGGTTTTCCTGCTCGACACCTTCACCACCGCCATCTTCTATTGCTGGCTCGTCATCAACCCTGAGTTCTCCATCACACTCTCCCCCTGCTGTGGCATCTCCAGGAGGTTTGACAGGTGAAAGATCCACCTTTCCACTTGGTTATCTTGTATCTGGTAAAGCAGAATCAGACATAGTTTCTTGCTCATGGAACACTACATCTCTGCTTCTGATAATTTTTCGATTTTCTGGATCCCATAACCTGTAGCCAAATTCCTCATCTCCATAGCCCAGAAATATACAAGGAATGACTTTATCATCAAGTTTTCGCCTCTGTTCCTTACTTACGTGAGCAAAATCTTTGCATCCAAACACCTTTAAATGAGAGTATTTAACATCATGTCCGTACCATACTCTATCAGGGATATCAAAGCCCAGAGGAACAGATGGAGATCGGTTGATCAGGTAGCACGCCGTTAGAACAGCTTCACCCCAGAATGGCTTAGGTAGCTTAGCCATTCTTAACATACACCTCACTTTCTCTATAATGGTTCTGTTGACTCTTTCAGCCACACCATTATGTTGTGGTGTTCCAAGTACAGTCTTCTCATGCCTGATGCCATGATCGACACAATAATTCTTGAATCCATGGGAAGTATACTCCCCCCCATTATCTGAGCGAAGACACTTCAAAGATTTACCAGTATGTCTCTCCACCATAGCATGGAACCTTTTGAAGTATTGAAAAACTTCGCCTTTTGTTCTCAAGAAATACACCCACAATTTTCGTGAAGCATCATCAATAAATGTCACGAAATATCTGCTACCACCGAGACTCTCCACTTCCATGGGTCCACATACATCAGAATATACCATCTCCAACACATTCTCTTTTAGCTTCGAGGTTTTGCTGAAAGACACTCTATGATGCTTCCCAAAGAGACAATAATCCCAAGGATTTAGTATTGAATCTTTGGCAAATGGCATGAGGGACTTTCTTGCCAAATCTGTAATCCTTTTTCACCAATATGAGCCAGTCTTTTGTGCCACAAATTTGGCGAAGCATCATCTTCGACTGCATTTAATCCACCCTTGATCAGCTTCACTTGAGTTCTGTACAGTGTCGATCTCACTGTACCTCTAGCAGCTAACAACGATCCTTTGGTAAGCCTCCACGTGCCATTACCAAAATTGTTAGTATACCCTGCTAGATCCAATGCATGCACAGAGATCAGATTCAGACGTAAGTCTGGTATATGATGTACGTCCTTCAGTGTTATTGTCACCCAATATCAGTTTGAATGCAAACATCACCAACTCCCACAATATTTGCAATGCTGTTGTTGCCCATCTTTACTCTACCAAAGTCTCCTTCTTTGTATAGAGAAAAGAATTCCTTGTGAGAGGTTGCATGGTATGATGCTGCTGAGTCAATGACCCATTCAGCACATGAATCAGCAACATGACACACTTCTTCTTCAACAGAGAGCAACACCACTTTCCCATTGATCATAGGGATTGTGGTATTTTCACCGTTCTCTGTCTTGTTGTTTCTCCAACCTCTGTTCTTACAGGCTTTGCAGTTTCTTTTGATATGCCCTTCTTCACCGCAGTGATAACACTTGAATTTTCTTCTGGGTTGAGATTGTGATTTATCTCTGGCTTTGCTATTCCGACCTCTGCTTTTACTTCTTCCCCTGGTTTCTGTGACCAGGGCCTGGGAACTGCTTGTCCCAGAGTCTTTTCTTCTTGTTTCTTCATTAAACATACTGTCTTTGACTTGGGTCAAAGTCAGTTTTCCTTCAGGAGCAGAGTTGCTCAACGAGACCACCAGAGTCTCCCAGCTATCCGGTAAAGAACTCAAAAGTAACAGCGCCTGTAGCTCTTCATCAAGTTTCATTTCCATGGTAACAAGTTGGTTTACCATGTCTTGAAACTCATTCAGGTGCTCAGCAACTGATCTTCCATCCCAGTATTTTAGATTTACAAGCTTTCTAATGACGAAAGCTTTATTCTGTGCAGTCTTCCTCTGGTACATTTGTTCAATTTTGTTCCACAGAGTATGGGCTTTCGACTCTGTGGCAACATGGTGGAATATGCTGATATCCACCCATTGTCGGATTAAACTGACAACCTTCCTGTGTAATTTTTTCCAATCGTCATCCTTCACATCATCTGGCTTGTTGTCTCCCTTTTCTACAGGATCGTACAGATCTTTGTAGAAAAGTATGTCCTCCATTTTTGGCTTCCAAATGGAGTAACTTGTTGCTGTGAGCTTCACCATGGTACCTTCATTCTCCTCCATTTAATTTACACTGGCCGATACAGAGCCCAACTTGAGCTCTGATACCACTTGTTGGGCTCAGATGCGCAAATGCAGAAGGTGTAAATTAAAATACTAACGTGAAATGATAAACAATAATCTCAATCCCAACAACTCAAGAATGACAAAAGAAATCTCTTGCAATAATACCGGAATAATTCTTTTCTGATGTGGAAGTTCAGATTAAACTGCGACCACAGAGCATACTAAGAATATCCCAAATAAATAAAATATGCAAGAAAGAAGACACCAATTTAACATTTTTCTTTAAATTTGGTGCCAACTTTTGTCTGTTTGATTGTGCACATGGGTTGGCTTAATTTGACTGGATCTGATATATATATATATATATATATATATATATATATATATATATATATAATTCTAGAAATCATTTCTAGAACATTAGAAATTAATTCTTGAACACGAAAAACCATTTTCCAAATCTGGAAACTATTTCTTGAACTCCGTTTCTGGTTTCTAGAAATAATTACTCAGTTCCATAAATCATTTTAGGAATATTTTGTAGGTTCTACAAATCACTAGTATGATTGGATATAAAAAAAAATTATTTAATTGGATTTTTGGTTTTGGTTGGTTAAATTTGAAAAAGTTGGTATGGTTAATTGTTAGTGGGTATATTAAAATAATATTTAAAATAAAATAATTAAAATTAAATTAATGTAAAAGTAGGAGAGAGAAGATGTGATGTGATGATTAATTAAAATTATGTGAGTAGTGAATAGTGAATTAAGGTTGATGTTGTGTGTAAGAATGATTGGTTGATATTATTTAATTATATTAATAATAATATTGATGATAGTGGGGTTGAGTTAAAAATGATTGGATTTTTTGGGTTGAATTTGTATCCAAACATGCTCTTATAGATTCAGAAATTATTTGTGGAACATATATAGAAACTGTTTCTAAAACCCCATTTCTCGCTTCTAGATAGTTTCTAAAAAATGTTTTTGGAAAAGATAAAGGCCTTGTTTGGCAATCAGCTGTTAGCTGTTAGCTGTTAGCGGATTGCATTACCTGTTTTGACCAACAAATTGTATTAGCTGTTTTGACCAGCTGATTGTGTTAGCGGTTTGTAAAAAAAAATTTGGTAAATTAGCTATTTTAATTAGCTGTTAACATGTAAAAGTACTTATAAGGACATCAATATATTTTATCATTTTAATTTATATTAAACTTATAATTATTTAGGAAAGAGAAATAATTTGTATTTTAAATATTTATTAAACTGATTTAAAATAATAAAAATATAAATAACTTAGAAAGGCACAAAAGCAAAACAGAGCAACAAAGGCACAAAAGAACTGATCATTGATTGTTCTAAATCCTTCTATTCATATATCAATCAATTAGAGGCAGGTGACTTTAATTGTGGGACGTGAAAAAAATTGGAATGAAATAAAATGGTTTTTTTATAAGAGGGAGGAATCCTCGATCTCTCTCGCCCAATTTCGCCCAAAAAAACCCTACTCGCCGGTCGCCCCTCTTCGCCGCCTCTTAGCCTTCCTCGTCGACGGCGATGCCCTGGGCAGTGGTCACCTTCGACCGCTCGACGTGTTCCTGATGCCTCGTGGCTCGTGCTGCTACGATTTCCGAGTAGCCTCCTCCTCGATTGTCGAATTTCAGAGATTGGCGGCGGCTTCCCCCTCTTCGGTCACCAGTGGCTCGTCGCCGGGTAAAGGTGGAGGTAAGCTCCTCGATCTCTGTTTTGGTCTGGGATTGTTGTTACCCTTGGATTGCTCTTCTTCTCCGGTAGAGCGTCGGTGGGGTTGTTGGGTGGCTGCCAGTTTTCTTCGGTGGCTCGGGTGGCGAGTGGGTCGGTGGACGGGTCGGCACACCAACGGCTGCGATGTCCTTCGTCAAGGCTGCCGTTGTTGCAGAAGGGGACGACTCTCCCTACCTCCGGTTCTCTGGTGTTGGGGACTGAGTGGGTCCGGCGCTTCCATGCTCGGCTAGTGGTGTTAGACGAGGTTGGGTAGTGCTGGAGTTTGGAGCTGGTCTTGTTCTCTCGGTTATAGGTGGGCTGATTCGAGATGTTTCGGGGCATGAGTGCGGCTTCTGTATAGGCGTTTTCGCAGTTT